CCTTATATAATTCAACTTTTATTCATACTTAAGTTTTTAATTAATTTCAAAATCTATTTTATTTTGTTATGAGTTCAAAGATGTTCCAAACACTATTTGAATCATTAAAATATATATATATATATATATATATATATATATATATATATATATATATTAAATTTTAAATACATATATATTTAATATAGGAAATAAGAAATGCAACATTTCAAATTTATCAACTCAGTTATAAAACAAATGGACCAGTGACTGTAATAGCTCACAATAACAATTCTCTTACAGATACTGGTATCTACCTAGTGCCAGCCTCAGGGTTAAAGAAATACTGAATGAAACAAAATTCAAATATTAAATAATATACTATGCATTGTAAAGACCACCGGTGGAATTCATTTAATTATTTTAAAGGTATAAATAAATAAATATCGTAAGTGCTCACATCTGGCGGTACCTGAGCGAGAGTAAGGACCCACGAGGACAACCTTTTGTAAGTGGTAATAAAACCCTTAAGAACCACCGACCAAGACCCGACAACTGAGTGTTTAAACAGGATCCAGAAAAACCTTTCACACCTTCCACCAGAAATACGTAAAATATACCTGGTTAGTAAAATACCTTGGCCTGGGGGAGAGGGCGTGGTCATCCCTTAGGCTAGGAATATTCAGCCAATCAGAAAGAAGTACAAAAAGAGAGGGGAGTGACTGGAAGCTTGGACGGGGAGAGTTTTGAGGAAAGGACTTGATCAGGAGAGGCGGAGAGAGCAACATATGGACTTGTAGCTGGGACTCGGCCGGAGGAGACTTCAAGCTGGGGAGTCGAGGGAGGAAGACGAAGACAGCCGGAGAGAGCAGAGGACTTCCAGCTGGGAGGCAAGCGAAGAGGGAGGCTGAGGAGAGCGACATGGAAGGAGACTCGAAGATGATGATGAACCAGCTAGGTAATAACCCTCATTTAGTTATACAGATGTAAACTTGTGTTGGCAACCATAAATCGTTAATTACTAGAATCAATAGAATACATGTAACTTTAATCAAACATGAAGCATTCTCCTCCAGTATGATTCTCAACTATTCATTATGTATATAGGTTTAGTTATTATTTTGTATATAGATGATTTTGGTTGTTAAAGTTGATAAATATAGTAATTCATCAACCATCTTGTTACTTTTACCATCTACCCTGCATGCCACTAATTAGATATAATTACAAATAGTAAATTTAAAAACACGATATCTCTAGAAAAGAAATCCAATAAAAATTATATGGTTCAATCTAGGATACTACAGTAGGGGCTCTGTGGTATCTAACCTTTTAATACAGAATTAATATATTTTTCAGTAGATAGGTTCCCTTCTGGGACCGATATAAATACCAATATAAGTATTAAATACAAATAAATGCGGTTCCTGGAACCCCCTACTCGCCGTAGAAACGCGAGGCCAGGAACATAGCAAATATAAAACAGCTTAAGAAATAAATTTTATTTTTTTTTAGTCGGGAGGAGGGAAAGATGACGTCATTCCCAGGGAGCGCTGAATGTCTAATACCAGATTCTACATATCGTGGTGTTCCAAGTAAAACGCACGGACAAGGAAGGCTACAGTGTGGGGGTCACCAATCTCAACCAAATATTATTCAGTGATACTCCATCAAAAAATATTGGATACATATCCCAATGTTCGTTCCAATGGGTCATAGGAGCCTGGAAATGATTTTTTTAATATAATTTCAAACATCATTTATGTTATTTATTTTTCTCAGATTTTTAGAATAAAATTTATCAACCGATTTCTTTTTTTTCATTGAAGAATAAGAAAAAAATATTTACTATTGTATTAAATGAGTTATAATGTATAATAAATGATAAAACCTTAAATGTACTTCCAGTAAAGTAGGCAATGTAAATTTTTGTTATGAAAATGCAAGTTAGATTCATTTTTAGTGTTCTCTGAAACTCTTAAATACGATTTTTTTTTTTTTTATAAAAATCAGAAATTTAATACTTGATTTTCTTAGACGATTTTTTTTTCCGACCAATAATTAAAACATAATCTCTAAACATTTTGTGGTACTAAAAACAAATATTAACTTTGTTTCTCCCTAAAAACATATTTACTCTAGATCCCAGACCTGTTTTGAATAAATATTATATTTGGCAGATAGCTGTAATATGGGAATAATCTGAACCAACTGACAGCAATGTGGGAGGAAATAAATATATTTTTATGGAAAAACAAAGGACAACTTAGGCTGGACCCTTAGAAATTTTGTCAGCCCCCACAAAAATTGTGATAATTTTAGAATGGTTCCACCAATTCAATTCTGGGCTCTATATACTACAAGAAGTGGTACAAAACCGATTTGCGTTAGCTAATTAGAACTAAATAGAAGATATAAAATAAAAATGATTCAGAAATGTTTCTTAATTGCTAGATTAAAAAAGAATGAAATCTAATATCATCTAAGCGAGTTGGAAGTGCTGTATAATATTAATATATTATTCAGGATTAAATAAAGATTATTAATAAATTTATAAATTTATTGATTTATTATTAAGATAAAGATTCCAGTCATACCGAAACGTCAACATCTCATTTCAAGCCCTGAAACTGATATATATTATGCAGGCCTTTGGTAGGTGAAGCAATTTTCTTCCATGCTGTTTTATTAATAATTAATATAATAGAGCATTGTCTATGTTTCAAGCTACATTCTCCTCTTTAGTACAAACAGAACAATCATATTAATGTTAAAATAAAAGGACACAATACAATTAAAAATAAAATTTATTTATATATGATATAAATATATTTGTTAAAAATAGTTTTCTTAATACAATAACAAATATTATACTTCTGGTCAATATATTAATGAATAGGTATTTGTAATAATAATAACAAGAACAAATATATTGATATGTTATATCAAATTATTCTAAGCGGAATATTCAAGAATAATCTTATTATGATAATTTTTGAAAATAAATTACTAACGGTACAAAAAAAAAAAAAAAACCTAGTACAAAACCTACTATAATAATAAAAACATATAAAGCATTTTATGATAAACAAAATAAAAATATGCATCAAGAACTACTAGAACGATTCAACTAACATTACAAAATAACAAAAAAGAATGAGATGGTGAGCTTTACTTCTTTTTAATCCTCCTAAATAGAAAACAACAAATATAATTAATACAGATTAGTTATTTTTTTTTGTAAGGATAAATTAAATAATAGGTATTTATTTATTTTTTTTTGTAAAATCACATAAAAAAAACAAGCCAATCATTATATTCTCTATTAATCTACCCAACAATAGATTCATACACTTACTTTATATTTCAAGTATTATTTTATATACAAATGTTGTCTCTTTAATTATTAAATAATTTTAATAGCTAATATTTTGTATTGTTAATTTTTGATTTTTATCTAATTTTGTACATATTTATGAAAATATAATTACATATTTAGCTTAATATTTCATAGAAAAATCTGTACCCAAGTAATCATAAAATTATAGAAAAATCATTAAACAATACAATAAGATACTTACTTTATATTATATATAATAGACTATAGAACTAGATAATTACTATTTAAATTATCCCTAAATACGAAAGATTATCACAGTAAAAATTTAATAAATAAACTTGTTTATTAGTGAATAAAGAATATATTAACAATTGAAAAATATATATATAAAATATTTTAGGGACAATTTTTATCTTAGTAAAAATAGAATAGAAATAGAATTAGGCCCATATAAGTATCAGAATTATAATAATAATTCACTAACCATAATGGATAATTTCACTCAACTGAAGAGATTTATAAGCGCTTTGATCCTTTGATGTATCTATGGATATAGACAAAAGAGTCTTTTACGCTAATAAGTGCTATTTTGGACTACATGGTTCATCATCATCAATAATAATAATAATGATAGGGCGTAATTCTATTTCTATTCCATTCTAATTCTTATATAGCCTAATTTGTACCAAAAAAGGGTTGGATCTGGGTGGGACAACATCCATGCTGGGCTATGCTGATGATCTGGTACTGTTAAGCAAAGATGTGGAAACTATAAAACTAAATACGACAACATTAATGAAAGCCGGTAAAGAACTAGGACTCGAAATAAAACAAAATATATATGGTTAGCTGCAAAAATGGTGATACTACTGGTGATATTGATATAGATGGTAATATGTTTGAACAGGTAGAGAAATTTAGGTATCTAGGTTCTACGATAACTAGAAAAAACTAAATCGAAGAAGAGATTAAGGTTAGACTGAAGGGGGGAAATGCTTGTTATTTTTCTGTGACAAAACTACTTATCTCGCGCCTCTTGTCCCGGAACTTAAAAATTAGAATCTATAAAACCATAATCTTACCTACAGTTCTTTATGGATGCAAAACTTGGCCGCTCACATTAAGAGATGAGCAGTGTCTTAAGGTTTTTGAAAATAAAGTATTGCATAGAATATTCGGACCGAAGGATGATTTAACCGGAGAGTTCAGGCAGTTATACAACGTCGAATTGTGTGAATATAATGTAATTAAGGTAATTTCATCGTGGCAAATCAAATGGGCTTAGTAACAAGAGAATTTCTAAAAGGTTAATATTTGCTGTACCGAATGGTAAACGTCCAAGGGGTAGACAGAAGGGAAGGTGGGAAGATTGCATTAAAGCCGATCTGAAGGGACTGGGTTTGGACGACGAACGGTGGAGGGAAGTGTGTAATAAGCGATTGGTGGTGTCGGCATCGAACCTTCGGTCAAACCTAAGCCTTTTATTATTATTATTATTGATAAAAATGAACCATATAGTCCAAAATAGCACTTATTAGCATAAATGATTCTTTGGTCTATATCCAGATACATCAAAGGATCAAAGCGCTTATAAATCTCTTCAGTTGAGTGAAATTATCCATTATGGTTAGTGAATTATTATTATAATTCTGATACTTATATGGGCCTAATTCTATAAGTTCCTGGATTCCATTTGTTATAGAATCGCTTTCTCTCATATTTTTCTTACACTCCATACTATCCCAGTAGCTTACTGAGAACATGCATATATGTATGGAACAGAAAGAGCTGTAATGTAATGGAAGCCACCCGACTATTTCACCAAGTTTCAATATTCATAGACACTAATAAACCAACTTATATTTTTATGTAGATATACATCATTTTATGTCCCTTAAGACAGATAGAGTAATTTGTGAAGTTGCTTATTTTTTAATTAAAATTTTTTTATCAATCAATATATTTTAACTTTTTCAAATATTTTTAGTTTTATAAGTATTAACAATTTGTTTTCATAACATATAATCACCTGATACCATTTCAATCAATTAATAATTAAGATGATTAAAATATAATAAAACATTTTTTAGTATCTTATGCTCAAATTGTTTCAAAACATTCATGGGATCTCATTGAGTAATTACAGCTGTCAAAGTTATAAATTGGTTAAGCCACCGCTAAAAAAAAAAAAATGACATGCCTTTCTTATACTCTTCTTTTTCTTACACTATACGCAGTAAATTGCTACAATGTTGTGCTCAAATTCTTTCAAAAACCTCACGGGATCTCACAGAATAATTTATGATATTAAATTTTAAAAATGCTGCAGCCATTTGCTGAAAACATCGTAACACACCTTCTAGAAAATTGATTTAACACTTTTTATTCAATCATGGATCAGTATTTTCAACTCAAGTTGTTTCAAAACATTCAGGGGATCTCACCGAATAATTTGAGCTATCAAATTACAAAGTGTAATTGATGATCGCTCAAATATTCATTACATAGCTTTAGTGGATCATCCAAACAAACAACCCTGGTGTTGCTTCACTTAGTCGAGTAAAAACAGATTCTAAAATCTGAATAGTTCAATAACTATTCTGTATAGTTACAGACGTAATAAATAGTCTATTTAGAATACAATCCATTATACAAAATAATATTAACTATTGAGTTGATTTAATGTTTTTCAACTTTTCAAGGTGTTCCACTTGGAGCCACGACTGCTGCTCCTCCGCATGACGTAGTTGTTGCTCCAAGATTTTTATCCTCAATAAATGTTCCTCCTCCAAATGTCGCTTTTTCTGCTCATGCAGTTCTTTTTTAAAAATTTGCTCTTGTTCAGCAATAGCAGCCTTTGATATTGCCCAAGCTGAGATCTTGTCAAGTGTATGACCTCTCTTTCGGGTTCTCAACACTGGAAGGGAGAATTCATCAAGGGAAGGAAGCCGTGTTGGATCAACAGGTTGAAACTCATATGGGGTGGCCTCTGGAGATTTGCTGGCTTGCCCAACTAAAGTTTGGCCCATACTGCTAGGGGTTGCTAAAGAATGTGGAAAAATGGGTGAAGTAGTAAAGGCTGCTATTTCCAAAGATTCGTTATCTTGAGAAGCCTCAACCTTAGGACCCACTACAATACTGGATTTAGTATCCATTTCATTAACAGAATCATCCTCAACTTCCATAAACAAAGATGTTGTTACTTAAAAGAGACAAAAGAATAACAATTAGGCAAAGCATAATAATAAAAACAAATTACTTCTGATACTTGATATACACAACTTACTTCGGTTGTTGTGAGTTACATCATCGTCTCCATATGTGTACTGAAACCCTGCAGCTTTGGGCTCTATAACCTGCAAAAGCTGGGTCTCGTCATCATCCGAAATAACAATTTCTTCAGGACCACCTTCCATCTTTATCCTACTTATCTTTTTTTCCCTAAGTTTCTTGTTGGCATCTGAAATGAACAGATTAATAAAAGGCTTTTGATGGATACCTATTATTGTGTTTTAAAACAATAATTAATTCTAGTATTCTATAATTAACCAATTGTCACTGCACAAGGAGAAGGCCATTTCTTACATTTTTCAGGAGAAGTAAAATTACCAAATTTATACTGAGTATTACTGGAGCATAGTAAAATAAATACTTAAATGACACTGTTACAAGTTTCAGAAACTATTTCCAATTCTTTTAGATTCACTTTCATTTATTTACATCATCCATACAACAAAATTTTGGAACATAAGTCCTTCATCAACTTACTTTTCTGAAAGAATTCATATAATTTATACTACATTGAATTTTGCATGTATTTGAATAAAAATGATATTTCATTATTACAAACAACCATACTACTTACATAAATTCAATAGTTAATTCACTATAATGTTCCAGTAAACAATAACCGTACCTTTAATTACAATCTTTCTCGTCAATACAAGCTAAGTCAACTTATTTGCCATTTTCATTTCTTCAATTACACTGAATTGTTTGATTAATTGATGAATATTTTATTATAGAGGGAGGAGATAGTCTGGGTTGGCAGTCATAAAAAGACTAAAATAGTGAAAAAACTATTTCAAGCCAAATTTTTGACAGAACTTTGAAAGTCTTCTTTAGAGGTGTGTATGTAGCATGGAGTTCTCAAAATTGGGTCCAAACATTGGCTCGAAATAAAATAGTTTATTCACTATTTTAGTCATATTATGATGGCAACTCCCAAACCATCCCCTTTCTCAAAAATATACAATGGTCAACCATGAAGCATTTAACATTAACTTAGTCCATATTTTAAAAAATAAAACTACAAAACTAAATGTAACAAGTTTTACAGAAAATAGTCTTTTGACCAATGTAAAAAATTTAAAGAACTGACACATGAAAATTATATTTATTCTTCGAATTTCATGATTAAAAAAACAAATTTGGAAGTTGGATTGTGTATTAAAAAAAAAAAGAAAAAAAGGAAGTTGATAATATAATTTTGTTATTATGCTGTGTATATAGCAACCCAATATAATTGGGCAGCAATCTTTTATATTTTATATAAAAATAAAGTGTTTCTCTTTCTTTTAATTTCACAATCTTGGCACCGAAACGTAAAAGAGATTTTAGAGTGCAGGGTCTTCTTGGAGTTGCACTAATGAATGAGCAGATTGGCGCTAGGGATGGGTCGGATTGTATGTATCAGATACTTTTATCTGATACTAAAAAAGTATCTGATACAACCAGTAGATACAACCAAAAAGTATCTGATACAAAAGTATCTGATGCTCACATGGATACAAAATGGTTGTCCAGACATGCCACATTGATATAAGAGAAATGTTTAGTTATAATTTTAGTTGTGCACAATTTTTTTAGAACTATCTATTCATTTAGTTTAATTTAATTAAATATTTATTTGTAGATAAATATATTCACGCTTATTTTTTTTTTTTTTATGTAATGTTAATTTCAGATATTTTTATCTGATACTGCTATCGGATATTTTTATCTGATACTAGTATCAGATACTTTTATCTGATATTTGTATCAGATATTTTTATCTGATATTTGTATCGGATATTTTTATCTGATATTTGTATCGGATATTTTTATCTGATATTTGTATCAGATATTTTTATCTGATACCCGCAACGGATACTTTTATCTGATATTTTTATCTGATACCTGGACTAGATACCCAGCGGTATGCATACTGGCGCTTGGGCTTATTAGTTAATATATAATAGTTCTAATGACTGTATAGTTATGTCAGGTACTAGAAATATTTACACAATTGTTAAACAAATATGCTTCAATTGAAAAAGATGGAATATCATGGAATAAAATATAACAGATTCATGCAGAGAAATATTTTCCTAATACAACGTTCTTAGAATTTGTAACAATTAAAAAAATTCTTATATCTAAGTTTAACATTCACACACACACACACATATATAATAGTATATATATATATTATTAATTTTTATTTTATTTTTTTTTTATTTATTGTTTTTTTAACAAGTATACTCAACCTCTGCTGTCTTGGGTATCTCTTCCATATCTGATACTGTATCGATATTTTTATCTGATACTCGCATAGATACTCGAGCGTACGCATACTGGCCTTGGGTTGTATGATATTGTATCAGATATTATATGTAATTGATTATTGATCCGGTTTGATATTTTTAATACCTATTTGAAACCTAATAAAACACATATTATATATGTACCTACATATATTTTATTCCTTTATTATTAAAGTTGCCCCTGTAATAAATACTTTACACCATTTTTAAATATAATAGTTCTAATGACTGTATAGTCATTACTAATGATTTATAGTCATGTCAGGTACTATGAAGATATTTACACAGGTTTTTAAACAAAATATGCTTCATATTTGACAAAATAATGGAATATATTAAATAAAAATATAACAAATTCATGCAGAGAAAATATTTTCCTAATACAACGTTCTTAAGAATTTTGTAACATTTAAAAAAATTCTTTATAGCTAAGTTTAACACAGGTATATATTTTTTTTTCTGTTTGTATTACAGACCATGTAGATCTTTTGCCACCTTAACAAGTATGCTCAATCTATGCCTGTCTTGGGCTATTTCTTTCCATTATCTGATATTTGTATCGGATATCTTTATCTGATACTCGCATTAGATACTCGAGTGGTATGCATACTTGTGCTTGGGCTTGATATCTTAATAATTGTATCAGATATTTTAATCCAACTGTAATTGATTATTGATCTGGTTTGATATTTTTAATACCTATTTGATACCTAATAAAACATATATTAAATATGTACCTATATATATTTTATTCCTTTATTATTAAAGTTGCCCCTGTAATAAATACTTTACACCATTTTTAAATATAATAGTTCTAATACTGTATAGTCATTACTATAATGACTTTATAGTTATGTCAGGTACTATGAAGATATTTACACAGTGTTTTAAACAAAATATGCTTCATATTTGACAAAAAAATGGAATATATTAAATAAAAATATAACCAATTCATGCAGAGAAAATATTTTCCTAATACAACGTTCTTAAGAATATTGTAACAATTAAAAAAATTCTTTATAGCCAAGTTTAACATACACACACACACATATATATATTTTTTTTTTTTCTGTTTGTATTACAGACCATGTAGATCTATATATCTATTGCCACCTTAACAAGTATACTCAACCTCTGCCTGTCTTGGGCTATTTCTTTCCATTATCTGATATCTGTATCGGATATTTTTATCTGATACTCGCATTAGATACTCGAGTGGTATGCATACTGGCGCTTGGGCTTGATATCTTAATAATTGTATCAGATATTTTAATCCAACTTTAATTGATTATTGATCGGGTTTGATATCTTTAATACCTATTTGATACCTAATAAAACATATATTAAATATGTACTTATATATATTTTATTCCTTTATTATTAAATTTGTCCCTGTAATAAATACTTTACACCATTTTTAAATATAATAGTTCTAATTACTGTATAGTCATTACTATAATGACTTTATAGTCATGTCAGGTACTATGAAGATATTTACACAGTTTTTTAAAACAAAATATGCTTCATATTTGACAAAAGAATGGAATATATTAAATAAAAATGTAACAAATTCATGCAGAGAAAATATTTTCCTAATACAACGTTCTTAAAAATTTTGTAACAATTAAAAAAATTCTTTATAGCCAAGTTTAACATACTCACACACACACACACACACACACATATATATATATATATATATATATATATATATATATATATATATATATATATATATATATATGTATATATATATCCTATTTTCACCAATCAATCTACATCTTTTGAGATTTAGATTATATAGGACTTGTATAATATTTACAATACTATTATTGTATTCTTTGAACATATTAAATTACATATGTAAATCATTTAAAATAAATATTTATCAACTCTATTATTATTATTTTTTTCATTAATACAATGGTATGACAACAAAAGTAATTTGTTGTTCATTTCAAATTTCAGTTAAAATTCCATAGTTTATTGTTTTTAGTAACTATCTTGCTGTATTGGGACCTTATTACTCATATTATGTCTTTAATATATCAGTATAGTTATGTAAATCCTTCTGTTATTACTTATTATTTAGTTGTTTTTTTTTGTGTGTGTGTGTGTTTTTATTGTAATATGCATTTTTGCCAGATGTTATGTTAATTTTTATTTACAATATTGTTATTCTCAAGGGACTTTGTCCTTGATCTTTATCTCCGTGCCTTCATATCATGGGCCATGTTTCTGTAAGCAGTTCTTTATTGGTCTTTCTTCTCCAAGTGTTAGTATTCTGATCCCAGATATACATAAAACATAAATAGCTTAGAAAAAATTGAACTTTTAACTTAATTAGTTTGAAATGAAATGAAAATAAGGAGGATGGTATCGACATATTATAATAATTAATTTCACTGCCGATAAAGACTTTTGACTTTATAAAAACAAACATTTATTAGCATTGTGGTAATATTTACATTCACATTTACATATTTACATCAAAACAAATTATTTAACAACTTCAATAAAATCTTAATTAAAATAAGGCGCTAACAGGTAAATATTTTTTATACGTATCTTATTAAAGTAAGCATTGGATTGATACACTGGACAATAAAATATATATTAAATATGTGCCGATATATATTTTATTCCTTCAGTGCCATATCTGTCCCTGTAATAAATATTTTATAATCAATAAACTTATGAATTATATTTCAAAAAAACAAGCTTTTTTACTTTTTCTGAGGACAGCCGAGTCCTCCTTTCGTTTAAAATATTGCCGGCTTTAGAAAAAACCCTTTCACATGGCACTGATGTTACCACTGTACAAAATTTTTGTTTAACAATTTTTGAGAGAAATGGAAAATTGTAGGAATGTTCC